AATTTGGAAGGAGGCTATTTTTCAATGATAATTAAGTCCCTTAAGCACTGATTTGGGCCGATTTCTTCATATTCTACTTTTGCCAGATTCAAAAGGGGTACCATCCCAAATTTCGAGCAATTTTTCAAAAATGTCATTTTTCTTTCGATCTTGGAGGCTACAGATCACGAAGTTTGCCCGAGACTATTATCCACTGATAATGAAATTTATTGATCCTATTCTCTACCGTTGATTAAGTCCATTAAGCACCAATTTGGGCAAATTTATTTTCGGAGGCCATTTTCGTAAATTTTTGCGTGATTTTTTTCGAAATGCCATTTTCTTGAATTTTGAAGGTTATAGATAACTGATTCGCCCTGAGGCTATTCTTCAACGATGATTAAGCTTATTTAACAGCGATTTGTACGGATTTCTTTCGGGTTCATTTTTGGTAGATTTCAAAGTGGGGTACCATCACAGATTTCGGGCAATTTTTCCAAAATGCCATTTTCTTTGATTTTGGGGGCTACAGATCACGAATTCAGCCCGAGACTATTCTCCAACGATAATGAAGTCTATTGATCCTATTTTCCACCGCTGATTAAGTACATTAAGCACTGATTTGGGCAAAAAAAAATATCGTAATGTATTTTCTTAATTTTTTGGGCAATTCATTTCGAATGACCATTTTCCTTGGATATGAAAGGCTACAGATCACGGATTCGGCTTGAGGCTATTCTTCAACGATGATCAATTTCATTAAGCACCGATTTGGGCGGACTTCTTCCTGGTCCATTTTTGGTAGATTCCAAATGGGTACCATCATAGATTTCGGGCGATTTTTCGAAAACACCATTTTCTTTCAATTTCGGAGGCTATAGATCACAAATTCAGCCCGAGGCTATTCCCCACCGATAATGAAGTCTATTGATCATATTCTCCACTAATGATTAAGTCCATTAAGTATCGATTTGGGCGATTTTTTTTTTCGTATGACATTTTCATAATATTTTCAGCAATTTTTTATGAAAGACCATTTTCCTTGGATTTTGAAGGCTACAAATCACCGATTCGGCCTAAGGCTATTCTTCATCGATGATTAAGTCCATTAAGCACCGATTTGGACGGGTTTCTTCCGGGTCTATTTTTGCCAGATTCCAAAGGGGTACCATCACAGATTTTGGGCGATTTTTCCTGAAATTTCATTTTCTTTCATTTTTTTAGGCTACAGATTACGGATTCAGCCCGAGTCTATCTTCCACTGATGATGATGTATATTGATCCTATTCTCCAATGATGATTAAGTCCATTAAGCATCGATTTGGGCAAAATTATTATCTGATGGCATTTTCGTAATTCTTTGGGCAACTTTTTTCGAAAGGCTATTTTCCTTGGATAATGAATGCTCCAAATCACGGATTCGGTCTGAGGCTATTCTTCAACAATAATTAAGCCCATTAAGCATCAATTTGGGCAGATTTATTACAGATCCATTTTTGGCAGATTCCAAAGTGGCTTCACAGATTTCAGGCGATTATTCCAAAATGACATTTTCTTTCAGTTTTGGAGGCTGCAGATCATAGATTTCGACCGAGGAATTTTTTCACTGATAATGAAGCCTATTGATCTTATTCTCCATTGATGATTAAGTCCATTAAGCACCGATTTGGGCGAATTTATTTTTGGATGTCATTTCGTAATTTTTATCGATTTTTCTCGAAATGCCATTTCCTTTTATTTTGAAGGTTTCAGATCACGGATTCGGCCTGAGGCTTTCTTCCGGTTCCATTTTTGACAGATTTCAAAGGTGTACCATCATAGATTTCGTGCAATTTTTACGAAATGACACTTTATTTCGAATTTGGAGGCTCGGGTCTTGGACTCAGCCCGAGGCTATCCTCCACCGATAATGAAATCTATTGATCATATTCTCCACCGATGATAAGTCCATTAAGCACCAATTTGGGCGCATTTATTTTTGGGGTGCATTTTCATAATTATGGGGTGATTTATTATGAAAGACCATTTCCCTTGGAGAAGAAGAAAATTATAGAATGGAGGAGATTGAGAAGGATTTAGAATAAAAGATTGTTAAGAGAGTTGCACAAATTAGAAATTTACAATAAGACAATAAAAAAATGGGATAGAGAATTAGGAGAACCAAAGGATAACACAAATTAGGGTTAATCTTCATATTCATTATTCTACATAACTGAGTCAGGACTCAGGAGGCTAAACTGCAAATATATAGCTATATATGAACCCCGAAAACCCTAACCACCAATTAACTATTAATTTCCATATTTCCTCCTTATCCCCTGCAGTACTCCATCATTACATTTAGCCAGGGCTGACTGGATCATGAGGAATTTCGTATTCTCCTTGAAAATCTGGTGTCCAGGTTGGGTTTGGGTTTGGACTACCAATTTTCAACAGTAACTTCCGAGTTCCGACAGCAAGTATGGATTTGAAGACAGAGACATGTATGCTAGCTAGCTCCAAAAGATTCTTTTGCTTTCGCTAGTAATTTCATGTTCCCATAAATTTGGTACGTAAAACAACAGCAGCAAAAAAGAAGCAGCCAGCAACAGCAGTAACCCACAGCAGCTTTAAAGAAAAAGTGTTGGGGGAGAATAGGGGGCAACCGATATGACATCTGCTGGCCAAACAACTTTCCAAACCTATGTATTTTTAGATTCCCCCTACAACATTTTTCGTCATTTCAATGTGTTCTGATGAGAATATCAATTGCGCGCCTCGAGTCCTAAGAAAGGATGTGTTGTTCGAGTAGATTTTAGATTTTTCGGGTCGTTGTTGGTATTCAGCTAGCGCAAGCTAACGCTTTTAGATTTTTCGTGTATTTATCTCCCGTTGTGGAACCGATATTGTGTTATTTAGAAAAAATATCATCAATGCCTAATCCAACGACGTCAAATGATTCTATCACGGTCTGTTTTTCTCCGAGAAGTCAAAACAAGTGCGCAAATTGGGTGGCTGAAGAAGCTGCGAGAGGAACCCTTCCTCCGCAATGGATCCAAGTTCTTGACTTAATATCACCCCCTTCTGTAATAAGCTCAACTTGTACTTCAATCGATTATGAATGAAAATGCTTCTAATTTGGCAAAAAAAAGCTAACACATTAGAAGGTGATCCAGTAATGTCAACAAGCACGTTTGTCCCTCGAGCCAAGTTCAATGGTCCTGGTTCCTCTTTTGGATTTGCAACTTTCCGTACATATATAGCTCTTTAGAATGCCTACACATCTTTTAGCTTCGGTTGTAAGCTTTCTTGGGTCCGAAGGGCTAGAAGTTGTGCCTTCTCTAGACGTCTAATTTCAATGTCTATACATCTGTGTGCCAGCCTTCCTGTCTGCCCTTTCTTGATACAACAAACGATTTTAAGATCGAACACCTTGGAAGGAAGGGAGCTTTACCAATCTCTAATGGGTAATTGCGAGAATTGTTTTGTAACAAATGTTCAAAGTTATGCTATCATCTGGAAAAGTATATAAGTTGAGGGACCATTTATGGAAGTGTTAGAAAGTTGAGTGGCCCATTCTGGAGGGACTAGATAGTGTAACAACACTTTTTATGTTGTTATTGTAACAACACTAGTCCCCAACCAATAGGAAGCTAGGATTGTGATGACTTTTTATAAGATGAGTTGACCTAGTGTAAAATCAAAACAGGGGTATAATTGTCATTATGAAAAATCTATTTAAATAAAAAAATAATAAAATAATAAAATAATAAAAAATATTTTTCTATTTTCTGCCCAAAAATTTGGTCGCCGGAATTCGGTCGCCGGTCACCGGAATATGTTTTTTTTGTCGCCGGAATATGCTATTTTGTCATCGGAATATGCTCACCATCGCCGGAATATGCTTACCGGCATCGGAATCTAGTCACCGGGGCCAGAATATGCTTATCGGCGCCGGAATCCGGTCACTGACGGTCATCGGAGTTTGGTCAACGAACTTCGTTGACCGGTCAACGGTCAACGACCACCAGATGTATGGTCTACATTGTGAGATTTATGGTTTGGTTTCACACATTTTTGTATGCCTTTTGTGGTTTGCTTTATTGTGTTTGTGGTTTGCATTGAGAAGTTTCTAGTTTGCTTTATCGTGTTTATGGTTTGCATTGAGAAGTTTCTGGTTTGCTTTCAAAAAATTTGTGTTTTGCATTGTGGGGGTTTTGGTTTGTTTTAGGAGATTTGTGGTATGCATTAGGAGGTTTCTGGTTTGTTTTTGTGGTTTGCTTTAACGTGTTTGTGGTTTGTATTATGAGGTTTCTAGTGTGTTTTTGAAAATTCTGTGGTTTGTTTCGTGAGGTTTCTGGTTTGTTTTAGGAGATTTGTGGTATGCATTAGGAGGTTTCTGGTTTGCATTACGAAGTTTCTGGTGTGATTTCAAAATTTTTGTGGTTTGCTTTGCGAGGTTTCTGGTTTGTTTTAATATATTTGTGGTTTGCTTTGCGAGGTTTCTGGTTTGTTTTAATATATTTGTGGTTTGCATTAGGACGTTTATGGTTTGTTTTTGTAGTTTGCTTTTCCGTGTTTGTGGTTTGCATTATGAGGTTTTTGGTGTACTTTCAAAAAAATTGTGTTTTGCTTTGTGGCGTTCTGGTATGTTTTAGTGGATTTGTGGTATGCATTATGGTGTTTTTTGTATGCTTTTTATTGTTTTTTTTTTTTGCTTTTGTGGTTTGCATTAGGAGGTATTTGGTGTGTTTTAGAAATAGTTGGGGTTTGCTTTATCGTGTTTTCTGATATGTTTTAGGTGATTTATGGTATGTATTAGGTGGTTTATAGTAGTATGCTTTGTAATGTTTCTGTTATATTTCATGAGAGTTATGGTAGCCAGAGCTTATGATTCTGATTTGCTTTTATGAATTGAAATTTCATATTTCACTCTCAATCTAGCTTTAATATTTAGTGCTAGTTCTCAAATGATATATATACACGAAACACAACCAAGCTTGACCATTACAACCATTTAATACCATAGGATCACTATGTTACTCAGCTTTGAGAATTACAACTCTTCGTCCATAGCATCATGCATTCCACCAATAGAAGTATTGGGATCATTCATCCAAGCTAGGAAAATACAAGAATCTCAAGATGGGGAACTCCATTAGTTGGATCTTGCAACGGCGACCCGATTGATGGAGTAAATGGTAAAATAGTAGCTAAGGGATGGTAGCTCGGATGACAGTGAGGGCTTTGAGAACAGTAAATTTAATGATTTCGTCGGAGATGTAAGCTTTTCGAGGTTGAGATATTACCAGTAGATCTGCAATTAGAAGAGGATCGGTTCTCTCCATGGCAGCTCTCTCAATCTCTGACCGAGATCGGCCTTAATAAGGGATTGTTGTCGCAGGCTGAATTCGGATCCATAGATCGAAAATTGACGGACGAAGGGGAGGTTGGAATCGGACAGGACGTTTTCGAGCTCGTTGCTGCCGCAGTGGGGCGGCTCTGCAGGCGGCGGCGGGGGAGATTTGGGGGAAGGGAGCGGGTCCGGGTGGAGGTGAGAGTCGACCAAGGGTTGTGTGAGGTCGGCGGCGGCTCCGTTTGGAGGTGCCATTTGGTATAGAATTAATTAATGTTGGTTTTTTAGGGGCGGTGGTGAGGATAGAGTTTTCAGGCGGCCGTTTGGAGGTCAACAAAATCGATGGCTCATGCTCCGGACAGGACGACGACGATGATTCTGTATGCGTGTGTGGTGAATCGTTGTTGTTGTGGTTGTTCCCCTGCGTCCAGATGCTCTGTTTTGCAGGCCACCGACGAGCTAAAGATGTACGCCGGCGAACAGGAAGGGGAGGAGGATTGGCGACCTCGACGGCGGAAGAAAGAAGGAATGGCGGGGGATGAGATTCGTAGTCGCGTTCATGCCGGCAGCGGAGGAGAGCGTACGGGAGATCGAGAGAGGGCTGGGCGGCTATGACTTGAAAATACTTTTTTTTATTTTGTTGTAGTTTCCGTTTTTACCCTTATTGTTACTGTAACAACACTATAGGTGTTGTTATAGTATCCGTAGCCCATTCTGGATAGTTACCCCAATTGATTGTTTGGAATTCGGGTTGGACTGAGTATAACACCTAAATCACAAAGTTCTAACATGCAAGAGGGACAAGGGCAAGACAAAGGGAGCAGTTCATAGAAGCTCCCTAGATTGTATTGCCATTAGACATGCAATTCACCAATTATGGGAGATGGAGAAAAAGGAGAAAAAATCAAAAGTTGGAGCCGGTGTTGGTTTCATGACTTCTGTTTAACTTTTAGTTAACATGCACATATAAGAACACTTTTCGCTGCAAAGATAACCTAGGTAGTTTGATTTTGGTTGGTTGAGATTGTTACGATATTGTGTTGTTCACATTACGTTATTTGCTAAAAAAATTATGACAAACAATACAATTATTGTTTGCTTGATGTGGCACAAATTATCGGTCAAAATGAGGGATAGTTAAATATCATCTTTTAGATGAGATTGTTGGGATAATTTAGGTGAAATTGTTGCGTATAATTTTGTTCCAACTATATCTCTAACTTTTTATATGTGTTGCTTTTTCTATATTAAAAACAAAACAAATAAAAGTTATACTTTACTCGAAAAGTAATATAATTTATTTAAATTCTATAATAACTATCACAAAAAACGAACGATGGAAATAACAATACACCAGTTTTTTTAATGACATGTATGATATTATACATATATATAATTCACAAATGCATCAAATTAACTATCATCAAAATCAAATGACCACTCAATTTCACTGAACTCATTCTTTAATTATATATATAGATTGTTCAAAAACTAAAAAAAAAAGTATATAGGTTGGTCATCTCTAGAGGACATTCATTCACTCAATGTATGGTTTGTGGGTTTTAGATTGGTACAATACATCGGTGGTCGGAACATAAAAATCATGTATTGTTATTTAGACTGGTATAATTAATACACGCATATAAAAAATATATCAACTAGTACAACGTGTCAAACTATCTTACTCTCGCGAAATAATAATCAATTTTGTGGGTTTTGATTGGTGACGTGTTACATTATTATATTGTAAATTAAATGCTTTATCATCTCAATATACTACGGATTAGGCCGCAATTGTTATCTCTAAATATCATTCTATTAACTTATCTCGTATAATATATCATTTCGCAAACAGTAATTCGAACACCCTCCTCAATTCTCAGTGTTTTATAATATGCTTTCTTTTTGGATTCTTGTTCTTTACTCCTGTCCATGCCATGAACAAAAACATGCACATAATGTACCAACAACATGATTCCCTATTTGCTAAAAGTTCATTTTGAAGCCTCTATAGGACCAACAAGCAAGACCTCTGGGAGGCAGCAAACACTATACATCTCTTCTTATAGAAGACACTACTGATCATATTGAAGGATGGATAATTGTGCCACAAAGACACACATGTCAAAAAAGTTATGGGAAACATGCAACTATTAATAACTTCATGTGTGCTTTTTTGGCCTTTCCTAAGGAGCAATGATAATAGAACTGAGCCTGTTGTATCAACACAAAACAAAGTATGTCTGTTTCCTTTAATTAATTGAATTGTCTGAATAATTATGGAACAAAGCATGTAGTTAGGAGCATAGAATGTGAACATAATAGACACTTAATTATGTGTGCGTTTTGGTTTGGACAGTGATGATATCAATCACTTGTCATAAGCCATGCCGTAATGTGGCTTTATATAGACTAATGATGAATAAGAAAAGATTAAACAGTTGATTAAGATGATGAACTAGAAAAGAAAGCATATTATGATGATGATCAGCATACCAAAAAGGCAAACTAGCTCCTAATTAAGTTGCTGGCCAATAAAGAATTGCGTGGGAAGTTAGATTAAGTTAGACTAAAATAAGATTAGTATATTCAATATTGAGCATGAATGTCACCACTCACATATATGTTTTTAAAGAATAATAGAGCAGCAACCTATCATAATATTTATGAGTTCACATCCACTGCTGCACCTAGATTTCAAAACGTGGATTTGAACCTTTTATTTAGGGTGGTATTCGGTTGGTAACTGATTTTACCGGTTTTCAGTATGCTGATACCACCGGTAAATGGTTTACCGTTTACCGTCGGTTACTGGTTCGGTAAAACAGTAAACTGTTTACCGGCTCATAGTGGTGGTATGTTTTTTTAATTGCTAATGTTTTAAATAATCTCGATCCTCATGAATATTTAATAAATGCGGAGAAGTGGATTATTAAAAATTACACTTTTGTTGATGATCAACATATCAATTCCTTTAAAATGATTAAATACTAACGATGGCAATACAAGCTCTACATCGCCCTTAATTACCTAAGTAGCTTATAGTGGCCTAATTAAACTAAAACTTGTTCATTCTTTCTTTTTCATTCTTCCTTTTTTCTTAATCCCTAACTAATCACAGAACCTCCACACTGACATTGCTCCATGACCATGAGGCTTTCGCCCATTACGAAAATTTCTCCACTGCTGGCTCCTGTAGGAGTCTAAGTCAGACCACTAGAACATGGCACACATATGCAAAATTCCAAGAGAGGAGAGGAAGTTCTCAATATGTACATGTAAATAATGGGAGAAATTTTAAAATGCTATATAATATCTGTGTTATAGGTATTTGTCTTTATGGTACAATTTAAAATTGTACATTTACGTTATGGTACAACTTTAAATTGTAACTATACTTTTGGAACAAATTCTTTTATGGTACAACTTGAACTTGTACTTTTATGTGATGATACAACTTCAAGTTGTAAAGTTGTATCATAACATAATGGTAACATATTGTTTTATGGTACAACCTAAACTTATACATTTAATGTTATGGTACAACTTTAAGTTGTACATTAAAGCACCAATGCTATATAGCATAGTAGAAGTACTCAAATAATGGGTCGTTTGGAAGTTGTGATTGTTAGAGTTGTGTTTGTTGAATACATGTATTGTGCACAATACAATGTTTGTAAGTGTCAAAGTGTAAAACAATGCATGCGTTATTTTAGGTAGGTCCCACCAACAATCACAAAAAATGATGCATTATACACTCCCACCAACAATCACAAAAGTTGAGATTGTTGTGATTGTTGGATTTAGATTTGTGTCAACTTTTTCTTTCCATTTATATCCCTAAAAGTTTTTGTCTTATTCTAAAAGTTGAAGATAATTGTGACATTTCCCATAAAAGTAATTTTATGTAAATCAATGCATAAAGTTGAATCTTAACAACCAAACAATGTCTTATTAAAATGCATCTATTGTATCAATACATTCATTTATATTATGATAATTTATTAAAATGCAACGATTTAACATTCACAACTTCTAAACGAGTAGTAAGTGGATGCTATCACATTACACATATACCTTGCAATGGAAAGAGCAAACCTAGAGTAGAGAAAGACAGAAAGAGATTGTAGTGAGAGAGAATGGTGTGGGGGTAGAGAGAGATCGATGGGTTGGGTTGGGTGGAGTGTATTCCAAGACACAATGATTACATGGTCTTGTGGGGAAGCAAGAAAAGAAAGGTTGGCGTGGTTGGAACTAGTAGTATGAATATAGCCTTAGCCTTGTGAGAGGAGAGAGGATGGAACAACGTGGGAAAGGGTTTAGGGCCAGAGGCTCGGCCCCCTTGACCGGCCACCAGAGAGGGTAAACCCACCAAAAAGTGGAAACAGATTTGTCTATCATGACAAAGAAACATTAATAAAGTAAATCATAAAATTATTCAAAGCAAAATCTAGATTAATTGGTGACCAACAAACATAAATTTTCTGAAATGATATAAATAAATTATGAGCAATAGAATTGAAAAATAGAATAATTACTCACAGTAAAAAAAAAGGTTGAATTCAAAAGTAATAAAAAAAAAGTTTGATTCCATCGTACTCATAAACTCAATCTAAGATTATAGGTTAATAAGTACAGCAATTAAACCACCTCGGCTACAAGACTCGGTTTCTATATGCATTTAGGGGTGGTTTGGAGAACATGATTCAGGATTTAGGACGTAGATTCACTGAATCCATAGATTTTGTAGAAAGTTATGTTTTTTTGTATTGTGTATTCTAGCTGTAGAGATTTCTAATCTCTAAAATCTGCGGATATCAAATCTCTCATAATCAGAGAGATTCTATATCTTGATTCGTGAGATTTTTTCTACTAGTTTTTCTCTTACTTTTATTTATTTATCACATGAAATATATTTATCAATATATTTTTTAATATTTATTGAACCACTCTAATTTTTTAAATAATTTATTTAATATAAAATTAAATTTTTTTATTTTAATGGAATGTTAACAATTACCGTTACCAAACAATAAACATTTTAAAATATGTTTCAACAATCTAAAGAGTTAGAATCGTTAGATTGTTGACAATCTGTAGATTTAAACTAATATTCTCCAAACGACCTACTTTGGAGAAGGTACATTATTTTCCATTTTTCTTTCAGGGGTGGTGGGTACCAGTGGCTTGAGTGGATTTTTTATTTTGATTTTACATTGACTCATTTGCTACTGACTAACGACTTGGTATAATTATAGCCTATGATTTATCTACGTTATGTTTATGGTTGGATTTGATGAATGGAAGATGAGTACGGTTAGATTGAAGGTTTACTTTTAAAAGAAATTTATCAACGAATCACTAGTCAGATTGACTAATATTTGCAATAAATTTCTCTCAGATTAAAAGGATTATAGCAGTAACAAGCACTCCCGTTTGGCCTCTTGTGGATCTAACCAATACTTGTGAAGTGCAAAGTGTCTATTACTCATATAAATCTTTAATTATTCACTTTTAATGAAATACTCGTTGACAATAGAGGTGTAAGTTT